GCCCTAGGCATGCTCATCAAATTTGCCCTTTTGCCAGTGGAGTTCTGATGATGGGTATTTACTTTCTGCAACCAGGTTTAAAACTTTTTAGATTAAGACAGCAAGATGCAATAATGCATGTGGAGGTTACTATACTCCATATTTTGTTTTTGTAATTGTATTTTAAAACAAATTTTTTGAAAAATTAGAGCATATATAGTCAAATCATGAGCACTAGAATGGAAAGGCAGGTTCAGAAAAGAGCTAAGTCAAGAAACTGTTCCTAAAGGACTGGAATAGTGATTTGTAACCCCCCGACTTTTAGATCCCTCTATTGATTGAGTCTGATATTTTGTCATAAGTCTCTCTAGTTTTAGCTGTAAGAAGATGGAGAGTTTGGTGGTTTTGAAGGATGACTTTAGCTAAATAATTTAAAGATTTTTTGAATATATATATACATATATATAACAATTAGATATCTTTATATCTAGCTTATTATTATGGTATTATATATCTTTAATTATACATTTCCACTGGATTTTCAAGACTAAGTTAAAGTGAGACCTGTGTTAATCAAAATTAACCTTTTAGTTAAGGTCAGTTAAGTCTCCTCAGGCATTATTTGGAAACTATGTTTAGAGTCTCTCAGCTTTTCTGTCAGTATCAGCCATTAGGATGGGCCTTGCTTGACCATGTCAATTGACCATGCCAATTTCTATAGAAGCATGGGAGACCTTGCCTTCTTGGTGATTCTTCTTTGGCATACTGTACACTTGTTGGTTCTCATCATCTGGGGTCCAGCAATCTTCCTGGTTAGAAGGTTGACTGACTCAGCAAAGTTGTAGGATCTCATAGAAAAGGTTTTCTCATGTCCTGAGTTTTTGTTGACCTAGGTAGGCCAGGGCCAAAGTGCTGGTGGTTCTCTTGGCCCAGTTATCCTTCTAGTTCTGGCCTCTAAACCTTAATTGTTGAACACCTAGAAGAGATTAGTGACATCAGCATTGAAGTAACAAAAGTGAGCCTAACAATTATAATATTATCTGAATAGCAAGGAATATTAACAGACAACAGTCATATAAGTTTTACAGAGGAAATTTGAGACTGGTGCCACGTATGTTCTGCCAGCATATCATATCATTTTTGTAATGCACTTAAATGTCCATCTTAATATAGAGTAGAGTGACATATATAACATATCCATCACATAAGACAGACACACATAAGGCAATGTATTTATAAAGTTACGATGTAGCTTTTTGGCCAAGTCAAATTATAGTAAATTTTCATATTTTTATATTTTTAATCATAATTAGACTTGTCAGAACTTTTTGCAGCTCAATTAAGAGAAATCTACTGTAATAGAATAAGAATTAGAAGGAATAAAAACCTTTTACTGATCAATTTATTTACATTTAACTATGTCTTAAGAATTTTGACAACTCTATGCCCTTTTTTAATTTAGCTTCTGGTTGTCACCTCTGTATCTTCTACAACTTACTTAGACCTTCTTTTTGTTCTAACAGCATTTGTAGGATTCCCCTCCATAATATTTACCATACCTTGGATTAACATTGAACTTTTTATAAGATATAATTTTTACATCTTGACAAGCTTTTGGATAATTTTTAAGATTTTCCATGGACTTAATTGCTTTAAGGGCCTGTTTGTAATATTTATATTTTTAAATACCAACTGAACCACAAGATTTATGAAGGATTTGTCTATAGACTGCAACCTGTGCAGCTGAGATGACAGGCATGTATCATCATGCCTGGAATGGCCAGGGAAAGCAGAATGGGTGAAGCCACCTCCCTATTACATGATTCTGCTACTGGCCCATTGGTATTGCCATTAGACAATAGGAGCAGTGGCTAGGTGCATGGGAAGGACAGGGACTCTGGCACTGGATATAGGAAAGGACACAGGAAAGGTGCGGCCACCTGGCACCCCAAGTAGACTCTAAAATTTCTGAAGATCTGGGTCATGGAGTCTCTCATTCGATGTCATCCAGCCCTGCGTCTCCACAAGCGGATGGTGACACAATGAGCAGTTTTTTTTTTCTTTTCTGTACACTTTTCTCATTTGTTCTGCTCTGAAACAGGAACTTCAAAGGTACTAATATTTAGTAGATTTAAAACTAATTTCACCAGTCCCAAATTGCAAAGTTCTCAGGAGAAAGTTTTTCCTCTGCCATGGCTGTCTTTCAATTTTCTTCCACTATATCCCAATTGTTATTTTTTATTTTATTTTTGTGAAAAATGAGAGTTTATAAAATAAATGTACATAAGAATACATACTAAAGCTGTGTTTCCTTCCATTTTCCCCAGCTATATCTGCCTCTTTCTGGCTTCCTCTATGGGCATCTGTTCCATGAGTTGCCTCTTGATTCTTTGGTCTCTTGTGAATAAACACAGTGCATCTCTTTTCAGATCTTCAGGGTTCATCTCTACCACTTAGATTTTACAGTCACTCCTGACCTTCAGAGATTCAGAATCCAGACTCTTGTTTTAAGCCAAATGTGTGTTCTAATTTGGCTTTCTGAGGATCATTCCACCTTTCTGTCAAGTTGCAGCTCTTCCTCCTCAGATTCTCTCCCGGATACCTTCCTCAGAGATGTTTGCTTTCAATTTACACTTCCTCATTCCAACCACTGCAGTATGATGACACGCAACATTAATTTTATCTCGAATGTATTAACATTCTAAAATATCTTATCATAATACAGCTCAGCGTCACCAAAAAAAAATCAATGTCTTTATAGTTTGACAGCCACCTTCCACTGTACTATTATGGATACGATAAATAATTAGTAAGTACTTAAAGTTAAAGACAATTTAGGTGGGCTTTTTTATGAACAGAGTATTTTTATTGAGGGGAAGAAAGCTCCTGTCCAAGAAAAGGACAGTAGAGGGGCCCAAGCAGGTTGTCTCTTATGTGTTATTTTTAAAAGGAACTACTTCATGTTTTTGAATGAGGAATAGGGTAGCCAATTTTTAATAGCCAAGATTTCCACCTGCAGAAACCACAGATTATATATAACAATTTCATGTAACATTTTTGTCAATTTCCAGGTGCTGATTGAAGCTCTGGCCTGCTTCAATAACATATGCATATGCATATATATATATATATATATATATATATATATAATCTTTGTTCTTTCACTGACAAATTCTTCCCCATTATCCCAGCTAAATGAAAACTTTTCACTCAGGTGGATCTTCCCTCTTAGTCCTAATCAGGATGCTCCTGTTTAGGTGCCAAATATCAGGAACATGGCCAAGATCCCCAAATGTCTGTTAAGGAATACATTACAAAGATGAAATAATAGACAAAGAAAAATTTAATAGTACATGACAGGAGAACAGAGAGGTCAATTTCTAAGGATGGTCAAAGACAATGACACTCTGAGCTTGCCACTTATTGGGTACACAATAATTGGAAGGAGTTCCAGATGACTTAGAGGGCAATGGTGATCTCAAATTGATGTAATCTTCCCCTGGAGTATCACATCATTGCAGGACCATTAAGGTCTCGGTTAAGGCCTCCAGATCTTAGGTTCAACTTATAATTTGTGGTCCCCAACAACAATGTGGGAAGAATTTCTGCCAGCTGTTCCTAAGACAAAAGATTACTATCTAGAATATATAGAGAACTCAAAAAACTCATCCTTCAGCTGGGGAGATAGCTTGGTAGTCTAAGTGCCTGCCTGGCATGCGCAAGAACCCAGATTCAATTCCCAGTACTCCATACCATGCTAACCCCACACCAAGCTGGGCAGTAAAACCAGGTGTGGTGGTGCACACCTGTAATTCCAGTGCTGGGGAGGCTGAGACAAGGGAATCTCTATGAGTCTGAGCTGCATAGCAAGACCCTATACCAAATAAATACATTAAAAATACTTTTTAAAAAACATCAGACTCCCAAGATCCAATTAAACAATGGGCATCTGAGATAAATATATCCTTCTCAGATGAAGAAGTAGAAATGGCAAATCAATGTATTTTAAAATATTCAAGACCATTGGTCATTCAAAAACTGCAAATTAAAACAATGCAAAGATTTTGCCTCATCCCAGAAGAAATGCTCATTTTCAAGAAATCAACCTATAACAAATGCCTGTGGGCTGTAGGGAAAAAGACACCCTTCTCCACTGTTGGTCAGAGTATAGAGTGTTGTAACTACTGTGGCAATCAGTGTAGAGGTTCCTCGTAAAGCTAGGACTACCAGTTCCATTTGACCCAGTTATTCCCCTCTTGGTATCTTCCTGAAAGAGTTAAAAGCATTATATCGTAGAGATGTGTGCACACCCATGTTTATAGCAGGACAGTTTGTAATGGCTAAATCTTGAGAACAACCCAGGGCCAGGGAGATAGCTCAGTAGAATAAGCACTTCCTTGGCAAGCACAAGGGCCTAAGTTCAATCCCTGGCTCAGAAAAGAAAAGAAAAAAGAAAAAAGAAAGAAAGAAAGAAAAAGAAGACAGCCCACATGCTCATCAACTGATGAATGTATAAGAAATACCTGTGGCTTTTATGCAATGGAGTATTACTCTATTGTAAAGAAGGACATGTTAAGGGACTTCTAGCTAAATGGATGCATCTTGAGACCATACTCTTAAGTGAATTAAATAAGACACACATATTTAAATATCACATTGTTTCTCCAGTGGGAAAAAACAAAAGTGTAAAAAAGAATCAAAATATAACTGATTATGTTAAATAGCAAGAAAATGTTCAAGTTAGAAAAAAAATCTAGGAAGGGGGAGTGGGAAAGGATGGAAGAGAAAAGAAAAAATGAGAAAAGAAGGAAAAATGAAAAGGGATTTTGTAAATAAGTAGGGGAACAGAGGTTTAAGGGAGGGTAGAGAAATGGGAAAAAATAACCAAGGTACATCATGTACAGATACAAATTCCTTATGATTAACATGATTATTCAGTATGCTTAAGGTGTACCAATGAACTTAATTAATAAAAAACTAACAACAATGATCCTGGGGCTGAGCACTCCTTTTCCTCCTAGGCTGCTGCCATCCAACACTTAGAATCTGCAACTGCTGAGCTGAACAAACTCCTGAAGGCCAAGTACCCCACAGAGATGATCATTGCAACCAGGTGAGTCTTCCATTAGCTCTCATCCTTTGGGGTGTTTTCATGCTTCAAAATTTAAATTTCCAAATCAGATATGGGGTTCATTTTGACAATCTGGCATATTGAAGAGAAGTGATGCATGCTCTCATCTTTCCAAATCAGATTTCGTCCAACTCAAACCTCCAAACCCCTGAGTGAAAATTTTAGGAAAGATAGATGAGATTGAAATGAGGCCTCTTGCTGCGCACACACACATACACACACACACACACACACACACACACACACACACACACACCACCCCTTCAAAAACGTTTAAGCCAGGTATTGGAAAGAAAGGTTATGGAAGGGAAACACAAGATTCCAGATCATTCAACAACACAAAAACCTTGCTTTTAATCTTTGATGCTAGGAAAGGTCTCTGCAATACCTACCTATACGTTTTTTCTCACAATCTAAGTAACATGTTTTCCTCTCTAAATATGTGGTCATTTATTCCTCCTAGGATTCATTGGGTACATCCTGCCCAGTCTACTACACTCTCCCTTAAGAAACATTCTCCACAGGGGTGTTGTTCTTACATCATTATAAATTTTATTAGGGGAGCCCTTGAACCACAATTGCTTGACTCAGAGCAAAAAACTGACCTAAGTTGAACCAAGTAATTTACCTTGCTGGAATTTAAGCATTAAAACTAAGATGTACTAGTCATTCTATTTGAAACAGGTCACTTGTGGAGTGATATGAAATTGGACTGATTTGGGGATGGTGTGTGTGTCAAGATAGGTTAAAAAGAAAAGGGAGGGAGGCAATGAACAGAAGTACATTGAGGAAGGGATAGAAGAGACAGAGAAAGATGAGGAAGATAAGAGACTGATGACATTAGAAGAAAGGACTGTAGACCTCAGTGATTATGTCATCTCATACCATTGGTCCCACCTTTCCAGATTCCTGTGCTCAGCAGTGGAAGATTTCGTGACTGATATTGCGAAGGCCTGGAATCACATAAAACAGAACAATACAGCAGTAGTGTCTGTGATTTTGAAAGTAAGTTTCTTTATTTTTTATATAATGCTTTTTTAAATGTATTTTAGTACAGAGACTATAGGGTCTCAATACACAGATCAGACTCATAGTGGACCTCCTGTTTTCAGCCTCCCAAGCGCTGGGATTACAGGTGTGTGCCAACATACCCAGTCTCAATCGCCATCTTAGCGCGCCCCAGGGGCAGGCCAGCATGGCATGCTGGGGATCAAACTCTGGTCCCTGTGCTTGTCTAAGCAGGCGCTTTAGTCCACTGAGCTATTTGGCCAGCCCTGTATAATACTCTTTGTGGAGTCAGGCTTCCCTAGTCCATAAAAGCAAATGTACTTCTCAAGGAAAATTATAAAAGAAAAGTAAGGAGGAGTTACTGGTAAGCCTTCTCAATGGGGTAGGTTCAACCTCACCATCTTACATTTTTTGCTAAATGAGGATTGGCACTATTTCTGCTTACACATGTGCTACTTATCTAGACATATGTCCACAACTACAAACAACTGTACACCAAACATATGGGTGCATGATTATATACCAGAACATACGTGAAGGCTGGGGAGATAGCTCAGTGGCATAAGTGCCTGTCTGGCAAGTACACGGTCCTGAGTTTGATCCCCAGTGCAAAGAAAAAAATAGTAAAAACTACAACATACTTAAAAATATGTGTATACTAATAGGCACTAGAAATATGACTACATTCACCTCTATGAAAATAGCTAACACATCATTTATTCTATGCCAGAGACTGTTATAAGTGTTTTAACATATAAATTTATTTAATCCTCACAACTACCCTAAAATATAGAGGAACAATGTGGTTAAGTAACTTGCCTCAGATCACAAACTACTAAATGACATAATGCAGAATCTAAGCCATAAATCATGAAGCATGTATATGTCCTCAAACATGCACACCCATACAAAGGCAGGCACCAATGTTTATGCAGATACATCCACTTCCATAGGACTTGCCTGTGAAAATGCTCTTCCGGAAATAGTTTTACTCAAGTTTACCATGCTGCATATCACAAGAAAGATGTGAAAACATACATTGTTCCCTGAGGCTGCTCAGAAACAAATGATGTGCTTAATCCTCCAGCACGCTTTGGTTTTTACATCTACCTATGTATTTCTTTGCCCATGTACTTCATCTCTTCACAAGTGGCTTTCTGTGCTCAGCATTTCTGCCCAACCACTAGTTTTCCATCTCTCCTCATATCATCCCAACTCGTGATTCTACCCTGTTAAATACTGGTTCTTCATAATGATATCCATCTTCTTTCTCCCCTCACAGAGTGACTTAATGTATGATAAGCTCAGTATCTTGATTGATATCCTGGTTGAAGATGCAGCAGGTACCTCAATTGAAAAAAGTGCTACACTACATGCAGACAGTGGCAAAGCAGATGGAAAGCCCTTAAATATTGAAATAGACCATATAGCCAAGAGCAAGTTGGAGCTGGCGACAAGGGCCAAGAATCTCCAGAAATCCTTGAAACTTGTCATATTCCAGGTTGAACAAGGTAAGAAGCACGGGGTTGTGGTGACTGAGGCAAAGTAAAAAGTTTCCAAGGGATGTTTCACTTATCTCCTTCACTGTGAGTTCACTACCAAAACAAGACCAATTTCTATATTTTTTATTTATTTTATCTTTTATTCATTCTAGTGAGAAAAAAAGATAAAATAGCAATGAAACAATTCCAAAACAGGTCAGTAGGACAATACAATAATTAGTAGAACAGTTACAATAACCAATTTCTATATTCATGTTGCAATAACCTTCCCAGGCATTCAAATCTTGCTATTCACTTATTTTTGGAACTAACACTCATCTTAAACAATTACAAGTGCTAAGTGGCATGGCAACCTTCACTCCAGTCATAGAATTTTTCTCATCTGTTCTTGTTGCTTTCTAATTGCCAAGCCTGTGACTATTTTAGAAAGAAATGCTGTTCATCTCTGTAGGTCTTGCACAACGTTAAGGGCCCTGCAAGCAGCCTTGGTGGCTCTCACATTGGCATGACGCAAAGCTTACAAAACTTTCCAAGCTTCTGATGCAGTATGAAAACTCTTTCAAATACCCTTGTTGACATAATATTTTGGGGACTACTTCTTCACAATGCTTCTTTGAAAAACAGATCAAAAACGGTGTAAGAACAAGTATATTGTAACTCAGCTAGTGAAATCAGCAGAAATCCCATGTAGCAAGGAAGCCTTTTTTCTGGCCTTTGACATTTAACAATGGTATCATCTGCCACCTTGCTACCTTTAGTTACAACCTTATCCATGTTTTCAAGAATGAAAGGAAATCTCCCTTCTGCACTGTGAAAAATTAAATGCCCTGTTTGTATCCATTTCTATAGTTAGTTCCCAAGTAGTAAAGCACAAATTAATCTGATAGAGCCATAACTCTGACATAACTGATCCTTAGTTTGCTCCATTAATACATATGTTAGATTTATGACTCATCTTTTGGCTGTGGGATAAATAAAGGCTCCCTGATTGGCTAAGAATTGAACACAATGGGCCTTGGACAGGCTGAGCCCTTGAGCTATACATATGTAATTTGGTGGACAGTATATGACACCTCCAATGTCCTGGGTATGGGTGAGACATTTGAGTAAAAGAGTAGCATTTTCCTAGAGTCTCAAATCTAGAAAAAAGTTGCCTGAGTAAATGAAGTAACAGAATGGAGGTAGAGAGTAGAAATTTTCCCACCCTTCCCCCTCCTACCCCTGGCCCAAACTTCTACTCACAACCGCATGTACTGAGTGCCTAAAAGAAAAAGAATGATTCATGAAACCAAAAGTTGAGGCATGAATATGTGAAGACCTGGAACCTACCCTTTAAGGAAACTGAGAGTACAAAACATATCAGGAAGGAGAGGTGATGGTCAAATGAAAGTCTCCATTGCCTATCACTACACTGCCTACCACTGACTAAACAAAACAGATGCTCAATAAATGTTCAATAAATATGAAAAATCCTTCTCTTCTTTTCCTCTCGCCCTCTCTCCTTTTACTCTTCCACTTTTTCTCTGTAGTTCTGGATGAGGAAAGCAGACAGACGATATCAGTTAAGAACTTTACGTCACCTTTCTTCGTGGGAGATAATGACTCAGAGGATTTTAACCAGATGAGTCCAAGACACCGTAAGAATTTTTCTCTTCCTCTTCTCTTATTCTAGCCTTCATAAGTGTCAGCTGGTTCCCTGAAGATAAGTATGTGTAAAAAAAAGTGTGACATGTATATGCAGTAGAGTATATTTTCCCATAAAGGATAATATTAAGTCAAATAAAAATAAATATATCCTGAAACTATAATTTTAAGTGAACTAAATCAGACACAAATGTATGGTTTCTCTCATATGAGAAACCCAGTATGTAAATAAATAGCAACATAAATGTTAGAGAATAGGAAAAGGGAGATAGACCTTTTGCAAAAAGGAAGGAGACCACGAAATGTGGGAGAGGGGAGGATGGGTGATGAAAAGGGATGAAAAAAGAACTAAGATATGTTACATACATACCAGCTCCCATGAGGAATGTAGTCATTATGTACTGAAATCATATAGTAATTAAAAAGAAAAGAATGTGCTTTCTTATGCATCTTCCTTCAGCCACAATCTTATCCTACTAGACAGTCTTCCTTTTTTTTCCAAAAAATTTCACACTGTAAGATCTCACACCAGTGTCCAAAGTACTGACCCCTGGGGCCGGGGAGATGGCTCAGTGGAATAAGTGCTTCCCTGGCAAGCGCAAGGGCCTGAGTTCAATCCCCAGTTCTGAAAAAAAAAAAAAAAAAGTAGTGACCCCAGTATGCACTTTTAGAAAGCCTTCCTAATGAAACCCATTTTGAAACAGTTTTCACTGCCAAAACCAATCAGCCTAGCCTCACTATGCTCTTAGCCAAGCGTGGAAGACCGCACATTGCCCTCACCCAGACCCAAGTGGGATAGTGCTTACTTGCAAGTAGTTGGGCTGCATAGAGGAGACTTCCCTAAATTTGGCTTTCAGTTTAATTAGTGACTGTGGATCAGGATGTGTACGTATCTTCAGGTGCCTAAGTACGGACTAACGTTTTCAATGGCTATGGTTGTGCTCAGCTAGACAAGCTGTGATGCCGTGGATCTAAAATGTGAAATAATGTCTCAGCTGAAGCTTGCATAAATCAAGAGGAAAGCTCCTTCCCAGAATTGTCTATAAAGCAGGTTACTCATTAACCATAACCTAAATCTGGCTGTTCCTGTCCCTCCCACAAGAATGTCTTTCCAGCCATGCCCATGTCTAGCACATCCAGCCGCACTTCCCTCACCATTTTCCTCAATGAGTAAATACCAAGGTTCTGGCATTTATTGAGGAACCTCATGGCCTTTTATTCCTCAAGAACAACTTATCATCCAGATCCCCAAGGCAGCCCTATTTTCTCTCTCACTTTTTCTTCCTATTGTGTCCTGTAACTCTGGGAGGAGACAGGAGTCCACAGCAGGGGTCTCTGATGGTGAACTTATTGTTCATCTAAGAGGATCTTGTTCAGAATGAGAACCCTGAGTGTTATTTAAGAGAAGTTCAATTGAGTTAGATCCATCCCCTACAGAGTAAATGGAATCAAGTACAAGTGATAGGCAAGGCATTTTGTATATATGTAATACCAAGGTAATGTCCTTTGTGTCTAGGTTCTCGTTGTGCCACTTTGTCTTCTATATCTTCTCTCAAAAGTGAAGACCTAGACAACCTTAACTTGGAACATTTATATTTTACACCTGAAATGATGTAAGTATCTAACCCAATTATCTTTTTAGTAGTTCATATTAATTATAAAGATTAATTAGTATCGTTTTTGCCAAACCATACATGCATATAACATTATTAGATCACTTTCATCCCATTACCCCACTTGCACCCTCCCTGCTCCCTCTACCTCCCTTTTTCTCACTGGATCTTCTTTGGCTTCTTCCTCCCTTTGATTGAGAACACAATCTCAAGCTATCCCACGGAAAACTGTGACTCTACTCAATAGTTGTTTGACCTATATAGTGACTTAACCAATGTAAGCCTTGGTTTCCTCACATGTAATGAAGAAAATTACAGAATTTTCCACATGAGTTTATATATGAAAAATTCTCTTTTTCCATAATTTTATGGAGAAACAAATAGCAATGAGACAGTTTCAAACCAAATTGGTAGGACAGTTTCAATAATTAACACATTGCATACATTCTTCCTAGTAGTTAATTGCTGTACAAGATGCAGACATGATATCTTATTTACAAACACTTGCACTGAGCAGTTTGGAATCCATAGTCAAATGCTACATGTATTAGCAGTTACTATGATTATTATGCACAATTAATAAATGTTGGCTATTTTTTATTTTAGAAGATTGTGACTCCACTGTTATATTTAACCATAAGTGCTTAAAGATATTCAAAATCATTTTCTCTAACTGATATTAAGAAAATCAGTTTGGAATTTATTTAGAGAAACACTAATTTCTGGGCTGTAGTTGGGGAAAACAACACTTACAGGAATTATTTACGGTCATTTTAGTAATAAATGAAAAAGTTATCTATGATTAAATAGTGAAACTGTACCCATTTTCAGTGTCTCAAAAGAAAGGCACAACTAGCAACTATTAATGGTTTCTTAAATAATTGAAGAAAACAATTTTTATTCCTATCTTTAACTCCCCCCAACTCTGTTCTATGTTACCACTGTCTTAATTTTAAGTCTGACTTTTTGTAGATAAACTTAATGTGCTTTCATCAGTAGTGCATTGACAGGTTTTTAACAACCAGCATTTTGAAAATAATTTATTCCTAGAGTAAGTTCTCCAATCATGACCTGTTTCAAGCTACTGATACAACGTCACTGAATGCATACTTGGGAACAGATATACCTAATCAATTTACAGGAGCTGGTAAAAAATCACACTATCCATTTTGATGCTGACACCCTTGATGGATGCAGGAGATTTGAAAGATTGCTTAGCTTTTTTTAATATAAATATCTGTACTCTTATCTATATTTTCCTCTACATGTGTGCTTACTCTGTCTTTTAATGTGAAAATACTACAAAGGAATTAGACACACTGAGAGGAATACTAAAGACTTAATTCTCAGGATACATTTGTATCTGCCGTATCCAAAAATGTTGTCATGGGAATAAGTTGATAATTCTATTTCTTTCTCTCATACATGGAAAAAAATATATGCCACTGATATACAAGGTCTTCAGCTCATATCTTGAATTTTGCTTCTTTACTGTGAATCTCAGTCCCACTGAAGCACCCCAACTGGCTAGGTGTCTTCTCTTACAATTAATGTGCTAGTTGTTAACACAGTATGTGCATCTGAAGAACACTATGGGGGCTAGGAAGATAGCTCAGTAGTCTAAGCACCTGCCTGGCAAGGAAAAGGACCCAGACTTAATCCCCGGCACTGCATGATGTGCCAACCCTAGAACCCTAGGCACGTCATGACAGCCACCAAGATTGGGTGTGGTGGCACATACCTGTAATCCCAGAGCTGGGGAGGCTGAGACGGGAAGATCACCATGATCTAAACTGCATAGAGAGACCCTGTACCAAATAATCAAACGATTTTTAAAAAGAACACTGTGGTTGGTTTTCCATTATGCATTAAATTCTGAAGCCAAATCACAGCAGCATTTCTTTCCTCCATCAGCATTTGCTCTCTTCTTTGACTGATTTCAGACACTTCAAAGAAAAGTGCGTCATGAACAACTACTTTGGAATTGGATTGGATGCAAAAATTTCTCTCGAGTTCAACACCAGAAGAGAAGAACACCCTGATCAATATAAGTAAGAAAAAGGATCTCCCCTCCCTACATGTATATGTATGATCACAATGCACACACAGGTTTCTATATTTCTTCTCTCTCAAGGAATACAAAGAAAAAGATCCCTTGGGAGCAAAATGCACTGGGTCCAAGACTAGCCTAGGTGGACAGCTTGCCCCATTGTTGGGGTGCTCTGTGACAACTATACTGACTTCCTGAACTTGGAACTCTTTTCATAATCTATGCCTGTGACAAATATAGCTCCATGTGTTACTCTCATTGAAAATAGACTACTTTGACTCAATTCAGCAAAATGTCTACCTTCATTCTGACTGCAAGAGCTTAACTGAGGCCTAATAATGGTTCTAGATCTGTTTTTGCTCATCATGGCTACAAAGTATCAAAGACTGTCATATTGGTTCTTGGTACTCCTCACCTGGTTCCTCTTGGCCCACTGATTTTTCTCCACCTTGTAGTGGTCCACTTACAACCTTCTGGTACTTTTATACTATAGACATTCTCCCATGGAAGCCTCAGAGTTTAAATAAAAAGTACATTGCCCCCATCTCTTCCATGCCACTGCCACTAAAATTTCTTTCTTGGAGGAAGCCTGATATGAGCAGAAAGAGATTTATCAAATAAGATTCTACAAATTGTTTCTCCCCAGTCTGTTGCTTGTTCTTACATTTTATGGTGCTTTCTTTTGAAGTGAAAATTTCTAAATCTTAGTAAGGCTCAAATGATTAATTGTCTTTCTTTATGGATCATGATTTTTATGCCATGTCTAAGAAATATTTGCCTAATTTGAAGTTTTGAAACTTTGCTCTTAAGTTTTCTTTTACAACTGTATGGTGATTGTGAACTAATAGCCTAAATTAATCTTTTTGCATAAAAATATCTTAACTATGCTGGCACCATATTTTAAGAAAGCAATTCTTTCTTCAATGAATTTGTTAGCATCTTTATTGAAAATCAGTTGACCATAAATGTAAGAGTTTATTTCTGGAATCTTCTATTCCATTGATTTATTTATCTATTTTATGCAAGTAACACACTGTCTTGATAACCACAGTTTTCTAATAAGTTTTGAAAATGAGAGATAAAAGTCTTCCACTTTTTCTTTCTTTTTTTCAGAATTGTTTTGATTATTCTAGGTACTTTTACACTTTCACATAATTAAATTGCTGTTTTGACCGATGAAGAAACTAAAGTACACAGAAAACTTTTGGCTTTGAACAGACTCCAACTAATCGTGTGCTAGCCTCTTTCTATTTTAACTCATTCTCTATGATGGTTCACTTCTATGGCTCTGTTTGAAAAGTGCATTGTAAAAAATAGCTGGTCTTGGCTGGGGAGATAGCGGTCTAAGCGCCTGCCTGGCAAGCACAAGGACCCGGATTCAATCCCCAGTACCACATGCCATGCTGTACCAGCCACCAAAACTGGGCATGGTGGTGCACGCCTGTAATCCTAGCACTGGGGAGGCTGAGACAGGAGAATCACTACTAGTCTGAACTATGTAGAGAGACCTTATATCAAACAAACAAACACATTTTTTTAAATACCTGTTCTTTCTAGTGGTTTTTATCTCCTTACCTATTTTCTTTTGATCACAAATAAGACAGTAGGACCTTATCCTTCCATCTCTAACCCCCAAGTCTCTTGATATCCTTGCCTGTCTCCTATTTTCTTCAGCAATTCCCCTTCTGCATCTCCTTACTAAACTGAACTCTATTCTATAACACTGAATTAAGTATTTAATGTAAGGCTATAATGTTTGAAAAAAGCCATCCACTGAGTTGGAACATTCACATAATCAAAAAATTGTAGTCTAGGGGACAGGTGCTTTATATGATTTAGCTGATTCTAAGCAGCTAAAATCATGTACTCCTGGAATGGCACTGCCAGGAGCACTGGTGTGCATCTGCTAACTATGCTAAGTTTTTGTTTGTTTGTTTGTTTGTTTGTTTGTTGTTTTTATGACGGAACCAGGGATTGAACTCAGGCACTCACGCTTGCCAGGGAAGCGCTTATACTACTGAGCCATCTCCCTGGCCCCCGCTAACAGTTTTTTTAGCATATTTTTTATTTTTTTAAGACTACAAAATAGTGACAGAAAAAAAACATTAGAAACAATACAAAATTTCACATACAGCAACCATTGTTGAATTCTTATTACTTTGTTTCATGAAATTTTGTATGAGCATATTTTCAAAGATAGCCTGTTTCTTCCAAGTTAGGACAAATATTAATAGCAAGGAGAATAAATTTTACCAATAATAGGACACTGAGACTTCAAAGGGTTCCATGAACCTATTTCTGCAAGTGTTGGCATTAGAATACTAGTCACACTGTCCCAGAAGCCTCTTGGAGTCCATTGACTGTCTAACATGGCTCTTTATCTTAAGAAAGCATTTAAGGCACTTGAAAAATAAGCTGGTCTCCCTCCCTGTCTTTCTCCATCGATCTGTCTTTATATTATTCACTTTCTAACTTTCACTTTCTACCTTTATCGCTCTTCAGTAGCCGCTTGAAGAACAAGATATGGTATGGCCTTCTGGGAAGCAAGGAACTTTTGCAACGCTCTTACAGGAAACTGGAAGAAAGAGTACACCTGGAGGTCAGTAGAAAAGGGAGTTGTTCTTCCTAGGCATGGGCACAGGAAATATTATGTCCTTGGAAATCAACTTTCCCCAATAGCCCTGATTCTTCCAGAGCTTTAACTTTGTGATCCTTGCTCACAGCTCATGGGAGGAAGGCATTAAGAGGAGCTTCTACTTTATAGATAAGAAAATGATAGTGTGACGGGAAGATAGAGGCCCCCATCTCTGTGAATGTCACTTCACATTGGTATCTGAAAAACCACCCAACAAGACCCTTTTCTTTCAGTGTGATGGAGAAGCCATCTCCTTACCAAACCTACAAGGCATTGTCGTGCTCAACATTACCAGCTATGCTGGAGGTGTCAACTTCTGGGGAAGCAACACAGAGGCCGCAGTGAGTATGAACAAGGGACAGGGTGGAAACAGGCATGAGCCTACTAAGGTCTCAAAAAAGAGTTGGGCTACCTTGAGTAAAAAGTAAACAGTGGTAGAAGAGACAGGATTGGAACCTTTATTAGCTGAAGGCTTATTTTTTAATTTAATTAAATTTGTTATTACAATTTAGGCATACAGAAAATCACATTCATTTTTTAAATATTTTATTTTATTTTATTTTGAAGAGTAAAAACAAGCAAAAACAATTAGAAAAGACAAAAACAAGGTAACATACAACAGTTCATACATTATAGATTTTCAAAACAGGAATAGCTAATTAACAATGGTTGATCTATTATATATTTTTATTGACAAATCTGTTGCTCAGATTAACAGATTTAGTTATGCAAGATTAGGGAAACAATGGGATATTGGTGCTTATTTTCAAGAAATCTTCAATTTTTACTTGTCTCTTCTGTTTTAATTTATTTTAAAGAGAGTATAGTAATTGGTAACACATTAGAAAAGGTACACATTTAGAAGACCAAGATGAGAGGTATTCAATTCTGGGTTTTGTATTACACATTGCTGTCTTCAATGTAGTTGGTCAAATCGCAGATATCAGCATACAGAGTAGTCAAGGTGAAAATTCTAAATATTAACTGCTATTTTCAAAAAAAACCAATGGAGGGCCGGCTGGATAGCTCAGCGAGTTAAAGCACCTGAAAGCAGGCATAGGGACCGGGGTTCAATCCCTGGGCCTGCCATGTCAGCCCCGCCCCTACAGTGTGCTGAGCTGGCAATTGAGACTGGGCATGGTGGCACACACCTGTAATCCCAGCTCTTGGGAGGCTGTAAATAGGCAGATCACTACAAGTCCGATCTAGTAGTGAGACCCTGAACACCCTGTAGACCCTTCCCTAAAATACAGGAAAAAAAAAAACTGATGGAAATTATGAGTCCATTCATCTCAGCCATAATAATCACATTTATTGTAGAGAATTTGTACTTGTACATTATGTAACTTGATTTTTTCCACTCTCCTACCCTCCCTTCATCCCCTCTTTCCTTCCCCATTCACAAAGGTCTGTTTTCATTTTATCCTTCCTTATTTATTTTTTCTTTCCCTTTCTTTCTTCCTACATCCTGCAGTCTAGTTCCTTTTACTTTTTGAACTGTTTCTTCATATTCCACAATATCTATTGTACATTTTGGTTCAAATTTACTCTATCAGTTTCTCACACCAGAGAGATAATGCAATATTGACAAGTTTATCCAATGTATTTCACTTATGATTATGGTCCCATCCATTTATCTATAAATATCTCAATTTTATCCTTCATTATGGCTAAGTATTACACCATTACATAAAAAAACACATCTTTGTTATTCATTCCTCTGTGAATGAATATTTGGGTTGTTCCCAAGACTTAGGCATTATAATCTATGCCAATGTAAACATGATTGTGCATATATTTCTGTGGTATGATGCTTTTAATTCTTCCAGGAAGATACACAGAAGGGTAATAGCTGGGTCAATTTGGACCTCTAATCCTAATTTTTGAAGAATCTCCACACTGATTTCCACAGTGGTTGCACCAGCCTCCACTCCCACCAACAGTAAAGAAGGGCACCTTTTCCCCCACAGCACCACTAGCAACTGTTATTAGTTGTCTTCTTGATAACAGTAATTCACTATGGAAGAAGATGGAATCTCAGCATTGTTTTAATTTGCATTTCTCAAATGACCAGTCATATTGAATTTTTTGGTGCATTTATTTGTCATTTTTACTTCTTCTGAAAATATCTATGCCTGGAAAGCACAAGGGCCTGAATTCAATCCCTGGTTCCACCAAAAAAAAAAATGGGGGGAACAGCCCACTTGGGACCCCTCCTGTCCCTCTCTTCGAAAGGAGCTTTCTTTCCCTCAGTAAATATATTCTGCTCTTTAAAAAAAACGAAAAGTGTCTATTCATCTTGAAAGTCCATTTTTGGATTGGGGCTTTGAATTTGGAGGATCTGATTTTTACCAATTCTTTGATGTTCTAGATATTAGTCATTTGTCTGAAGGACAACTAGTAAATTTTTTTCCCACTCTGTGGGTTGTCTTTTTATGCTGTTGGTGATTTCATTTGGTATGCAAAAGATTTTTAATAAGATGAGATCCCAGTTGTTTATCTTTGTGATAATTCCTGTATGTTCAGGGTCTTGTTCATGAAAGCTTTGCCTACACCTATGCCTTCAAGAGTTCTACCTATTCTATCTTTCATCAAATTTAGTATTTCTGTTTTAATATTTAGATCTTTAATCCATTTCAATTTAGTTTAGTGCACGATGATAGACAAGGGTCTAGTTTTGGTCTTTGGCATGTGTAAAGTCAGTTGTTCCAGAACCATTTATTAAAGAGGATTTCTTTCTTCCAGTAAACATATTTGTCATCTTTGTCAAGGATAACGTGGCTGAGTGTGTTTAGAGTTACTTCTGTTTCTTTTAATCTGTTCCATTGATCCTCAAATCTGTTTTTGTTTGTTTGTTTTGTTTTGTTTTTTGTCAGTACCATTTTTTTACAATGGCTTTGTAGTATAATTTCAAATCAGAAATTGTGACACCTCTGCCTTACCTTTGTTGCCAAGAATAGTTTTTGCTAGTCTAGATCTCTTCTGGTTCCGAATGAATTTTAAGAATGTTTTCTCTAGTTCTGTGGGTTATGCTAATAGTATTTTTACTAGTATTGCATTATATCTGCATGGTAATTTTGAGGGTATAGTCATTTTCACTCTGTTGGATTTTCCTACCAAGAATAAAGGATATCTTTCCATTTTCAGATATCTTCTTGATGTATTTTTTTCAGATTACTGTAGTTTTCAATGCAGAGATTGTTTACATTTTTTGTTAGATTAATTCCTAAATATTTCATTTGGCGGGGAGCTGTTATGAAAGGTGTTGTTTCCCTAATTTCTCTCTCAGTGCATTTGTTGTTTGTGTACAGGACTGCTATTCATTTTGGGTGTTGAATTCTATCCACCTATGCTACTGAATTTTGTTATTAAATCTAGAAATTTTTGGTGGAGTTTTTGAGGTTTCTATGCAGAGTACCATGCAAATAATGATAATTTAACACTCTCCTTTCCTGTTGTTATTCCTTTTTTCTTGTCTAATTGCTCTGGTTAATGTTTCTAGAATTATGCTAAATATAAGTTAATGCTGAGGCAGGAGGATTGCTGTAAGTTCAAGGCCTGGCTGAACTACATAGGAAGACCCTGCCTGAAAATAATTTTAAGTGGTGACAGTGGACATCTTTGTCTTGTTCTTAATTTTAGAATTAAATATTTCAGCTTTTGTCCACTTAGTATGATATTGACTGTTGATTTGTCATAGATGGCTTTTATCATATTGAGATGACCTTTTATTCCAATTTTCTATAGAGATTTCATGAATAGGTGTTGGATTTTGTAAAATGTTTTTTCTGTCTATTCAGATGCATCTACTAAGAGCCAATTTCCAGCCCAGAACCCAAGAATTAACCAAAAAGTTTAAGTCAACTCTGACTTAAACTTAGGTGTCACCTGGCATGGAATTCTGCATTTTTCAGGCCTGAAAGATTCTAGAAAAATTAACAAGACCATATTCTTTATTCTAAGGTGGCCTGTCAATAATTTCTCCTGGGAAACTGACCAAGAACTCTTTCGAGTTCACCCAAATAAGCTAGGAGGTCAATAACACTGGCCTTGTGGATTTATGATGTTGAACTGAACAGAGAATAAACTGACTATAAGCTGTGATATGAAAAGTGGCTAAAAGTTGTGATCTGTGTCCTTTCCCCAGATTGGCTTCTTGATTTCATGTGTTTCTGTTTTTTCTATTCTGTTTTCCTTCTCTGTTTCCCCACTCACAAACTAAAAAATTGTCATCAGATATCTTCAAAGAACACTTATTATAGACAAAGAATGGTTTCATGATAATGGGAATTATGACATAGTTCTTCCTTCTTAGGAATATGAGGCTCCCGCAATAGATGATGGAAAATTGGAAGTAGTGGCAATCTTTGGCTCTGTACAGATGGCTATGTCCCGTATCATCAATTTACATCATCATCGCATTGCCCAGGTAGGCAGGGGTTGGGTGGGTGCCAATAAGAGGCTGAGTTCTGTGGCTGCAAACAAGCATATGAGGTAGCCCCAAGAATTAACTGGTTGTAAGAGTTCCAAAGTTGAGGAAGCAAATTATTTGATGGACAGCAAGGTGCAAACTGAGCTTGGAGACAGAGGTGGCAGAGACCGAAGGAGTAAAAAGTTCATAGGAAATACATGTTTCTGCCTGGAATGATCATATTCACATATTTGCCAGTACTGCTTCCACATACATTCAGTTCATAACTATGAGATTATTAGCTTGATCTATATTGGTTGCTTCATTTTTCCCCTATTCCTTCTTGTCTTCTCTGGCAGTGCCATGAATTGATGATAACCATTGATGGTGAAGAAGGTATCCCTGTGCAGGTAGATGGGGAGGCCTGGATTCAGAGGCCAGGGATTATCAAGATTAGATACAAAAATGCTGCCCAGATGCTGATGAGAGACCGGGTAAGAGGAGAAAGGTCCACCATGGGCTCCTATACTACCTTATTCATAACTATCACATGAGTACTGAATATTTCAAGTCAAATAGAATTCCTCAAAGAGAAACCTTCATGCCCTTTACATCAGAGTAACCTCTGTGCTATTTATAAATGTACCAGGCCTACTGATCAGAATGAGGAGGAGTGGTTCCCAAAAGCCTACATTAGTAAACACGTTCCTTAAGACATTGAAGTATAAATTGACACTTGCAAACCCCTGTCCAAGACAGCAACACAAAGCACTGTCTCTCATGGTTTTGGACAAGGTTATGGTCCACTCCACTGCATATACAGATGAAGGTTTCAGGTGCTAATAGAGAAATATTCTTTCAACAACATATTCTGCTTTGAAAGTTGCCTTTAAGTTTATTTAAGGTTCTGTTAAATGCTGAACTCACAAACATCACCCACTTTAGCTCAACCATTTAAAGCTACAAAGGATCCATTATTGATCAGCTGTTCAGTATTTGGAGATTGTCTTCTACTATGACCTGTGAACAGTCCATAGAAACAGCAATGTGGAGGGAAAGGGATGTCCAATTTACAAAATGCCTAATTTATCCTGGGTACTTTACATGTATTGATTCACATAGGTCCACCAACAATTCTATGGATTAAATAAACATATTTGCAGTTTCATAGGCTTAATAGCTTGCTAACAGTCACAAGACTAGCAAATCACAAAAGCATGATTTACAATTAAATTAGATATATCTGCGGGCTGGGGGGGATGGCTCAGTGGAATAAGCTAGTTATAAACCCCACCACAGCATACTAAGTTGGGAAAAGAAGGGAACATTGAAAGTGCTCTATTTTATTGACCATGATGATCTCATATAAGAGCTTCTGGACCAAAAAAAAATATCTCTCCAGTTAAAGACTCCTACAACCCAGCATATTGATGACAACAAAAGTTAAAAGTGTCTAATAAAGAATAAACATTGAATAAATGGACAGTTCTGTGTAGAGATGTTTGTATGGAAGAATAGAAAGGGGATCTCATTCCCATTTACCTGCTATACCCACTAATTACCCACAAATGTCAGATTCACAATCAGATCTATCATGTACCTTCTTAGCTATTTTTCTCATTAGGCTCTGACACTATGTTCATCTCTAGGACTTTGAAAACTCAATGAAAATGTGGGAGTGCAAGCATAATAAAATTCAAGCTATGTCTCAACCCCAGATGGATTCCCAGGAATCTCAAGATAGCCTCTCTGATGAGGAGTATGACCAGATACAGCACTTAGCTGAACTTGCAGAAAACCTCATTAGCAAGTAAGTGAACTGGCCTAGGTAAAAGTGTGGGAAACACAACAAGAGATAGAAAGAAACAGCCAATTTAGGTTTATTGACTACTGTATAATCTGACCTCAGAAAAGAATCTCATATAGGACTCTAAAACTTGACTAAGGGCTTTGACAACCCAAGCAGAAAATATTCTTGAGCTTTGCAGTAAGACAGCATGGACATTTCCCACAAGGCCCAGAGATAAGTTTTGATTTTCTGATCTGGTTTCAGAACCAATGGAACTAAGAATGTTATCCTTGCCCTTAAATATCAAAATGGCCTTGGAATTCCTAGAGTCATCTACTCCACTCTATTTTAGCTTCCAACCCTAGTCAAGTTTCCAGTATCTCAACTGAAGTAAAACAAGTTTCCAGTATCTCAACTGAAGTAAAACCTAGAGAAGAGCAGAAACATTTACTGATGTCAGGGCTACCGAGAGAAGAGAAGAACTAACAAGAGAAAATAAAGAATCCAAATCCAGTGCCTAAGACCTTAATTTCTTTTTTTCCATAATTTTAATGAGAAACAAATAGCAATGAGACAGTTTCAAATCAAATTGGTAGGACAGTTTCAATAATTAACACATTGCATACATTCCTCCTAGTGGTTAATTGCTGTACAAGATGCAGACATGATATTTACAAACACTATTTACAACCATTTTGAATACACAGATACAAAATGGACATTCATCTGTATCCCCTTTTTTGTTTAGTTTTGTTATTTGAATATTATAGGTGTGTTAACTCAGCAAAATATTCTAAAAGAATCCAGTAGTCCATAATAGTATTGGGTCTTCTGCTTCACTGGCAATGTCAGAAATTGTTGACCTGAGTCCCCTACAGCTCAGCATAACACCACGGCTTTACTTCTTATACTTCATTTTTATACTTTTCTGCTGGATGGTTAACACCAAGATAAAGCAAGACCTATGCAACAACAGTTGTAGCTTTTGGGTCTGATAAGGTAAGACTTTCATTTCTGTACTCACCCCAATTCCTCAGTACATAAGATCAGTTCAATCCCTAGTTCCAAAAAAAAAAAAAACAGTGACTTTTTCAGCCACAGAGGAAAGTGATCAACAATGTAGAGTGTGCCTAACAAGAGTCACCTGAGGAGAAAACATTCTCTCAGGCTTTCACAGAGAGCAAATTGGTCGATCAATGGCTATGACTCATCCACATGGCTGACACTGACAAAGGATCTACAAACTATGGCACAGGGTTTCAGGCTAAATCCTGAGTGGATTTGACTGACCTTGTCACATACAAAAGTTACATTTCTTGTTATATAGGTCTTGCTTTATCTTGGTCTTAACCATCCAGCAGAAAAGTATAAACATAAGGTATAAAAAGTAAAGCCATATTAATATGCTGAGCTGTGAAAGGCTCAAGTCAACAAATTCTGACATTGCCAGTCCTACAGATAACCCACTACTATTATGGACTACTGGACTACATTGGATTAGTTTGCTGAGTTCATGCACCTACAATATTTGAATGGCAATGAAATACCCATCTCTGACAAAACTAAACAAAAAAGGGGATATTAATGGACCATTTTGTAGTGGAAAAAATATATATATACAAAATAGCATAGATATACAGCTGCTTTCTCTTAGTTCAATGAGAAGAATGATTTGTACTAATATTGTTTAGACAAGCTATCATGTCTGCATCTTATATTATGAATAACTACTAGGAAGACAACAGTATGCAATGTATTCATTATTGTAACTGTCCTACTAACCTGTTCTGAAACTATCTCATTGCTACCTCTTTCTCAATAAAATTATTTTAAAAAAATAAAAAAGAATCTCAGAGCTCCCAGGTCACCTATCTGTTCTTGTTTTATTACAGACTTAATGACCTCAGCAAGATGCACCAGCACATGTCTCTCCTCACGGATTCTGTAAATGTTAGTGTTGACATCCTGAACAATATATTTTATGGCCAAGACAGTGACAACGCAGCAGGTGCAGCTTCCTGTATTCCCACTGAGGTAAGGGAGGAGGGGCAGATGAGGGACAGGAGCAAACCTAGAAAGAAAAGGGAATATACATGAAGGAGGGGGTAGAATAAGTTAGATAAAGAAACTGAAAAGGGGCTATGGCAGGAAATTTAAGGAGTAGGTGGAAATGCAGGTACTTCCTGACTAGTTGTATGACCAAGGTAGCTACTTGGGAAATCCCACAGCAGATTTCTCCAGCCAGATAACCAGCCCTCTTTCCTAATTACTATATGCCATACCAGACTCAGAAAAGAAACAGCAGTGGATGGAGAGAAACTTGGCCTTGGACTCTTCTGATCCCAGGTGGTTTCTTGCATAACTTGAGAAAGTGATACTCACCATTGGAATGAGAGCACCAAGTCTCTCTGATTTCCTTTTTTGAGGGAAAAGTTCATCTCAGATACTTACATGTACCATCTTATGACTTTGCCCACTGTCAGAAGATTTAAGCTGTGCTTTTTTTACAAAGTAATTTTAGAGAGCTTACCTGGCATACATGAAACGCAGAATTCCATCCTCATCATACACATACACACACACACACACACACACACACACACACACCTTTAGTCTTTAGTGCTGGGCAAAAATATAAGGATTTGCTAAAATATGGGTTAGCTGTTTTAGGCCAGATAGTTGGAGAAGGCCTGGGATCCAAAGTTTTTAAAAGACAGAGAGTTGGACCACACTCTACTTGCTGTAGAAAAGATGTTTTAGCCTTGGGACAAGGATTGGCCTCAAATTTACCCTCTGGTTTTCTTATTTTCTTATACCCACTGTATCCAATGAATGATGCCAAAAACTAAGTTTTTCCATGGTACTTTGTAGTTTATACCAATACAGCTATACAGTTGACAACCAACATCAGCTCTTATTGATTGGTGCCTATATTGTACTAGATGTGCTATATTTTGAATATTAATTTTGCACCTACAACTACAGTCTAATAGCCTGCTCTTACTTCCAATGGAGAAGCCAGCTGCATGACTACTAACCAACTCCTCTGTCTTTGTCCTTTTCCTTCCTTTATTGTCCTTCCTTCTCTCAGACTCTAAGCAGAAATGATGCAGTAGATGTTACATTTAGTCTTAAAAGGCTCTATGATGACACCAAAGCTTTCCTGGATGCAAACTTGGTGAGTGCAGGGGACCAAAGTATGGGAGGGCAAAGCATACTATCTTAAGATGGTCAGTGTGTACTTGGTTCCAGGGTACTGCAGACATGGGGTCATTTTGAGCAGGTCCTTAAATGGCAGTGTCTGCTTTGTCATTCAGGGTTGTCATTGATTGTATTATTCCATGGGTTATGCTAATCCACATATGTTAATTCTTTGAAAGAAATCCTTCCTCTGTGTTTTCAAATGTCTTCTGGATCCCAACCAAGCCAATGAATGGTAGGATCTTCTCATCGTACATGATATAGGTGTAGTACAAAACAGTAACCTATTCTGAGCTGATCAATATCTCTCAAGTTTCTACAAACTTCTTTCTCCATATAGAAAAGCAATATGAACTAGTAAGAAAATTTAGTATACTTTTGATTCAGATTCCAGATCTGCTACTTACTAGTTGTATTACTGCCCTAAAGCTGCCATAACAATGTGCCAGGAACTAGGTGTCTTAAAACAAAAAGTACTGAGGCCGGGGAGATGGCTCAGTGGAATAAGCGATTCCCTGGCAAGCGCAAGGGTCTGAGTTCAATCCCCAGTTCCACAAAAAGAAAGAAAGAAAGAAAGAAAGAAAGAAAGAAAGAAAGAAAGAAAGAAAGAAAGAAAGAAAGAAAGAAAGAAAGAAAAAATGAAAAGTACTCACTGCACTACAGTTCTGAAATCTGGAAGTACAAAATGAAGATGCTAGTAGGGCTGCACTTCCAAAACCTTCCTTGCTTCTTCCTGGCTGCTAGTGGTTTTCTGGAAAACTGGTGTTTTTTGGTTTGTGGATGTGTCACTCTAATCTCTGTCTCTGTCTTCACATAGCATTCTCCCTGTGTACCTTTGTCTTTATAAGGTCACCTTAAGGACATTAGTCATATTGGATTGAGTCTAGCCTTATTAGGTGTCATCACAACATAACAATTAATTATGTCTGCAATGACTTGAATTTCAAATAAGGTTATATTCCATGGTATTGGGAACTAGAACCTCAAAATGTCTGTGAGGATGGGGCACAATTCAACACATAACACTAGCTATGTGAAATGACTTCACTTCTTTGGATCTTAGTTTCCATCTGTAAAACAGAAATTGTAATCTCAATCTCTCCAGGTGTTATTGTAGCATAAGCATCTGGTTCCACGGCAGTGACTTGACAGATGGTAATTATTAGTGCTAGGAAAAATGGACTAAAGCTCTACTTTTAGGCCCCAAAACTAGTTGCATGTTTACCAGAATGCAAAGCCCATGGGCACACTTGATGTGTGCACTCTGAGGAGGCAACAGATCATGATCACCCCACTCTGAGTTCTAAGTCTCTGAGGCAGGTGCTATGCTTGTCTCTCACCTAATTAAGGTTTCTTTGAAGAAGGGCCTCTTGGATGAAACTATAAGAAATATCCACTTCCCCTTTTCACTTGCATATCTAATTGGCCCAACTGCACAAGAGGCAGAGTACCTAAGGCACTCAGGCCAGGCTATCCCGGCATCTGAGCCCCAAGCTAGCAGCAGAGTTTTCTATATATAAATAGTATTCAATGTTCTTGTCAGGTTGGGCAGCAGGAAATATGAGAGTTTAGCTTCCCACGTCTACTTAGGCTTTCTTGAGGCTCAGGTCCTTAAAATTGGTCTCTCCTGGCCAACAACCTAATCTAAGCATACCTTACTATAGGGTAGGAGCCTCCAGAAGGCTCTCATCCCTGAGGACCTGGTGAAGACCCCCATTCACATACACATGCACATATCTAAATGAGGCTATAAGGCAGGCAGCAGTAACTAAGAATGACCATCTATCTCTGGGAAGGTTGTCATAGAGGTAGGAGGGCGGTAAGGCTTTTTCCCACTATTTCAAGGACTGTTACTGTTCCCCTTGAAGAAAGGGCAATAAAGATCTTGGTGTTCGCTCTTGCCAGTGAGCTTTCTTTTCCTGTAACAAGTTCCTAAGATAATCAACTTACAAAGAGAAAAGGGCTAGGTGTGTTGGCAAATGCCTGTAATCCCAGCACTTGGGAGGCTGAAGCAGGAAGATTGCTGCAAGTTGCAAAATAGTCTGGTCTACAAATTAAGTTCAAAATAAGCTTGAACTGCACAGTGAAACCCTATCTCAAAAAGACAAAAAGAAAAAAGGAAGTTGTTTATTTCTTTATTAGAGATTTCAACCATAATTTGTTGGTTCTATAACTTTAGCCTGTGATGAGGTAGCACATCATATTAGAAAGAATATGGTGGGGTAAAGCTGATAACTTCATGGCCAGGATTGAAAAAGAGTGCAAGAAGACAGGCTGGCATCCCACTATCCTCTTTAAGGGTGGGATCCAATGACAAAAATACCTCCCATTAAATCTCATCTCCTAAAGGTTTTACCAACTCCCAATAGTGTCATACTAGAAACTAAGCCTTTAACACATGGGTCTTTAGGAGGCCAACATAGTTAGAATTTAGATTTTTGATAAATTGAATCCCACCAATAATTCTTACTTCCCTTATTTGGCATACATTTACTTTCTGTCTCTGGATGACTCTGATTAGTTGTAAAGCAAGCAAGTTACTTGTCATCCCTGCCTTGTTTTTTCTTCATGTCCCATCCTGACTGGGCATAACCTCCCATCCCATCTCCTGAACATTCACTTGCCATCCAATTGTGATAGTTGATAAAGTTCTACCTATGGCTAGAACAGCAAGACACAGAAAGAAGCCAGAATGCCACACTGAAAATAGAGTGCATAACTGGGAGGAAAGATGAGGCCAGTTTAGGTGGGCTATAAACTTGTCGAGGCTGCATATATCAGTGTGTTTCTGTGTCCCCAGCTTATTAACTACTGGAACATGAATGATCTCACCTGTATTGCTGATCTATAATTTGGTTCATTGGTGATGATCTCAGAAGGATTTAGGGTTACTAGACAGCATTTAAGTTTGGTTTCCTAAACCTGAGGTACAAGCCAGGCTCATTATTTTATTACTAAGAGCAAATATCTAGGGGCTACAGCACGACCTGGGGAAGCAGACCCTCTACTAGGAAGGGAAAATTTGAGCCAGTCTCTCTAACCCTGTCTCTTTGCTTCACAAAATAGCTTTTAAATTACAGTAAGTGCACAATAAAAATTCCTCCCAGCATCTGGCTGCCCCTCATGTGACCACCCCACGTGTCCTTTTCTGCAATAATGTTGTGTAAAGATAGGTTATTGAGTTAAACAGATCTGGCTTCTGCTTAACCTTGCAATGCTGACACTAAATTTCTAAGTCTGCTTTCTCACATATGAAATGAGAGCATTACCTTCTAAAGTATTTTAAGGTTATTGGTAATGGGGAATCAAATTATGTGTTCAAAATGCCTGGCATATACTATGTGCACAAATCTCAGGAGCTGTTATTTAGGGGGACACTAGGATAGCTCCATAAACCTTGTCCTGGATCCTAAGCTATAGGGTACAAAATCTCAGTGTTAAATGATAGTGGACAGAATGCCTTTGTTTACCACACAACAAGTGCAACCACAATCAGTCAGTTTCCTGGCTCCCCCTCTTAAGAAAGAAGAGTTTTCTGTAGCTAGACCTTGATTTCAAGAAACTAAAAAGGCTAATGATAGGCCAAAGGGAATACAGGGTGTCCCTCTATGGTGTCTTGGCCACTAGAAGAAACTAGGAGTAGGGGAGTAGGCAAGAGCCTAGGAATGCAAGATTCATGGCATTAGGATATTTATTGTTTTTCCTGTCTACCAGTTGAGAGATGCTGAGGATGAAGCCACACTACAAACTGCTCTGGAGGCCATGAATAAGGAGTTTGAAAAGCTCTCAGAGATCACCTGGATGAATTCAGTCATTTTTCCAGAGGTACATAACTTGGGCAGACAAATTAAGGGGCAATGAGAATGACTCTTTGGACCTTGCCTTCCAGCATGGTGATGTGGTGACTGAGGGAGTTCAGCAGCAGCTTTCCACCTTGGCTTTAAGGAGTTTCCTCTTCCTCATCTCAGTGGACAGAATTTGGTAGAGAACATGAAAAATGATGTTATCATGGAAAAATAACTTGAATGAAGACCCACTTTGTAGCAAGAGATGATCAAAAAAGAAAGAAAGATTGGGATTTGTCCATGTTGTTTCTCTGACTTCAAATTGCCCCCTCTCTGCACAGTAGCTGTTGAACTTCTCCAGGACATACCAGCATGACCATACAAATTGTTTACAACCAAAATGTGTTCTAAATGCTTGGTTCCCAGGCCATACTGGTAGATGAGTTCCAAATACCACCTTTTCCCACTGTTTGCTATCTCTTCCCCTTTGGGAAGGTAGTAGGCTCTTCCAGGGTTACCTCTTAGCAGGCATGTGGTTTAAAAGAAAACTGAGCCACATGCATGTGGCTTAAAAGAAAATTGAGCATGGCAGCAGCGACAAAAACTCAGCTAGAAGGAAGCTGTTATTTTCTAAACAACTGTGTGTACTTTCCAAAGATTGAAAAATACTCCCCATCTCATAAATCAAATGAATCAAAGATGTCCACTTATGACTAGGTAAATTATACTATTTATTGTGGTCAGGTGTGGTGGCACATGCCTGTAATCCCAGCACTCAAGAGGCTGAAGCAGGGGCCAGGGAGATGGCTCAGTGGAATAAGCATTTCCCTGGCAAGAGCAAGGGCCTGAGTTCAATCCCAGCTTCCTCAATAAATATGAGTTCAAGCCAAGCCTGAACTGCATAGCAAAAACCTGTCTCAAAAAGACAAAAGAAAATTATACTATTTATGGCCTGGCATGGTTTTTCTTAAAATTTTCCTACCATAGAATCAGATATTTCATCCTATGGGGATCCCTTTTCTCATACACAGTCATTATATCCATGTTCTAGTTCAATTTACCAGTTATATGCATTTAAGCAAAGCACATTTAGACAAGTACAGCAACCAGGCTACCATTTCAAAGGAAAAGCCATGTACAAATTTAGGTCTTAAGAAATTTAATAACTTTCTCATGTGCCTTTGCTGATGTCTCGAGCACTCTCTAAAACCTTTTCTGCTTGAAAACACTGATACTGCCTCTGAGGAAAGGAAACATACTCTCAGATAGCAAAGGGTGTAAAATACTGTTGCACCCTATTCCATCATTAACCAGTTCATCTATCTTTCATCAAACTCCTGAAATAGGCACATGGATTTGATATTGAGTGAAATGAGATCAACACAGTCCAGACCCTTAAATCCCATTTTATATGTTAATCTGTTTGGCCTGTGACATAATCTCTTTACTGAATTCTAGTATTTCCATAGAAATGAAGATATAAAGGACAGAGTAGATCAAAAGAAAGCCAGGGGGATGTTTCTTATTCACTTGACACAAGTATTGCTCACAGAAGATTTTGATCCACTTTGCTGGGGGAAATAGGATAGACTCAATTATTAAATTTTCCAAGGTTTTCGCTGAGAAGGTCCTGTGCCCTTTCTTAAGGTTGCTCCTGAAAAATAATTCTGCAGGTTGATGTATGTAGCCAGTAGGATTACTAGAGGAGATAGGGTAAATGGGACAAATAATAATAATGATGATACTGATAATAATACCAATAATAGTAGGGCAGATTAATCCCCCAAAGATGGTAATCTGAAAGCTGTTTGGAATGTTTGGCTGGATTTTACAACAACGAAGTTAACCTCAGAACTATGTCTTACAAAGACAAGTAGTAAAGTCAGAAAACTGTAGCAGGAGCAAGAGACTGGGAGGTTGGGCCAGAATTATAGAACCTGCATTACCTGGACAGAAAAGAACCCAAATTCATAATACTGAGCTTTGTTTAGAAAATCATCTTTGCATTCTGAATAGGGAAGAAAATGGCCTGGGAAGGAAGAATCTTGCCTAAAGGTACTTGGGTAAGGGGGTTCGTCAGTGCTCATCAGTTATATGTCTAAAGAAAAAGGTGTCTTCTTTTTCTAATTCATGCAAAGGTGCCATATGACCTAGCAGTAGACATAACAAGCCTACATTGCCAATCCCTAGCCACATGACCTCAGGTGAAATATTTAACCTCTCTAAGCTTCTGCTTCTTCTTTTTTAATATAATGACAATAATAATCACTTTGCCAGGTTGTTTTCAGTCCCATATGAATATTTACTGAAGTATCTAGCAAGACCTGGCATACAATATTCTCTTGGTAAAGCTAAATTCCTTTCCTAGGATATATGACTAATGAGTAGAAGTATCTCATACCAACTAGAGAATAGATCTACCTGCTTTATGTATTCATTGCTTGTCCATCACCTTGCCAGGTCTCTAGAAATTGCTTATGAATGTTAGGTAAGTAATATTTGATCTTCCTCTTGCTATTGTTTCTCAGGAAAAATCTCCAGATGCTGACACTAGAAGCCTCGGGTTGAAGTTTAAGTTCAGCAAACTGGGAAAAAAGAAAGTACAGAAAGAAGAAAAAGCTAAATCAGGCCAAAGATTCCGTCGTTTTATTGGTGAGTCTCTTCCATAAGCATAGGGGTCATGAAGACTTCCCAAGAAAACTACCTCCCAGGAAACCAAAGTATCCACTAGAACAACATTAGAAACATTCACAGACATGATGGTAGTGGAAAAGCCAGCAGAGAGACAACCTTGGATAATTCCAAACAGTGTCTTGGACAAAATGTGAATTAGAATGTAATATGGTCACTGGTAAGGGGAGAATATGAGAAAAAACACTGCTGTGTGGCTTCTGTGATATGGGCAGCTGAAAAGAAAAGTGCAATCAGACAGCTATTTTACTGCTTGGCCCATTTCTAAGAGTCAAGAACACTTCCTGTGACTTACATGAGCACTTTTACATGTATCTATCATAGTAAATCTATAGAAACATAAAATTATTGTATATTTCATTGTTTAAGTTTTGCTTCCATTCAATTCTTCTTCAAAATTAGTCCTAAGAATTATTTATATGTTAGTAGGATTCAAAAGGCGGTTCTCTTAAGAGTTGTCAGATATGCCAAATCAGAGGTTTGTGATTTGTACATTTGGGGCTGAGACAACTTGCAAGCTTAAGAGATGTAGCAGTAAAGGTCACAGGAAAACAGGGTTATAGGATAGTATTTTGCTGTGTTTCTCAAGAGTCAAGAGTTTCTACAGATGTCAAGAGAGAATCCCTTGGACCAACCTATATGTTCTCAGGCAAAGTCCAACTGTTTTGATTCCCTAAGAATCTTTCAGTTAAGAGACAGTAGTTTTAAAGAATATTTCTGAACACTCTGATGGAGTCAAAAGCAGTTTCATAGTATCAGGCTCTAAGAATTCACCTCTGTTTTGTTCACCTGATATCAGCTAGTTTACTCTTATGGTTCAGAGATGGTTCATACAATATGAACAAACCAGGCTGTCTCCTATCAGATGCTTTTTCTCTTTGAGATTTAAGCATCTGGCAAAGTATTAACCTTATTTCTGTATGTGTTTTTTCTCTAAAGGTAATTTGTGGCATCGAAGAACTCGTGAAGGTGAAGCAAAAAATGATAATCTTCCAACACCGTCAATATCTCAACTGTAACCCTTGAAATCTGGAAGAAGTCATGTTTTACAATCAACTATAAACTCTCAAAACCCTAATAGAGGCTGGAGTACACTATTTCAGAACAACCATGAGCACCACCAAGAAAGACCCTCCAAATTTGTATGCTAGTATATTTTTCCTGAAAATAATCAGGTCTCCTTAGAGGTTTACCTGTTCTCATTGGCCAAAGATTCTTGCACCAAGTTGTCTTGTTCAGTTCTCCTTCTCTTAGTGCATCTTGAGTAACTACAGTATCTATTGGGATAAGCTCTTTATGGATCTATAAAGAATTCAAGGGAGTTCACTTCCTCAGGGAGTTTGGGAATGGTTTTCTCTGAATGACTGAGAAACTCTTGACAATAAAGAATGAATGAATGGCAGAGCCTTGAGGAGATGAAGAGAGTGGACAGGACAGCCAGGCTCAATTGTGTTTCTCCTCCAACCCCTACCAACTTCAAACTTTTAGTTGATTCATTAAGATAAGAACTAGATAGGTCCTGAGACTTGTCCTATTAAATGACCATGTAAAATTTTTCCTTATAAATA